CTCATCTACTGATCTCATCTCATCTCATCACATCCCCTCATCTCATCATTACCTCATCATCTCATTCTCAACTCCTCTCTTCTCTCTTTTCTTTATCATCTCATCTAATCTCAGCTTACCTTCTCATCTCATCAGCTCATCTCATCTCATCTCCTCCTCACCTCATCTCCTCCTCACCTCATCTCACCTCCTCATATCATCTCATCTCATCATATATACTCATCTCATTTCGTCGTCACATCTCCATCTCACCTCATCACATCTCATCTCCCCATTTTATCATCTCATCTCTTCGTCTGATCTCATTTGCTCATCTTGCCTCCTGATCTCACCATCTCATCTCATGTCGTCTCCTCACTTCATCTCACCTCCTCATCACATCTTATCTCATTTCCTCATCTTGCCTCCTCATCTCACCATCTCATCTCATGTCGTCTCCTCACTTCATCTCACCTCATCATCACATCTCATCTCATTTTATCTCTTCATCGCATCTCATCATTTCCTTATCTCCGTCTGTCTGCAATTCTCCTCATCTCATTTCATCATCTTATCTCATCTCCTCAGCTTATCTCGTCATCTCATATCCTGATTTGATCTCATCTTCTCATTACATCTCTTACCTCATTTCTTCATCTCATCTCCTCACATCTGTTCATCTCATCTCCTTATCACATCTCCTCACCTCCTCATGTCATTTCATGTCGTCTCCTTATCTCGTCATCTCATCATCTTATCTCGTCATTTATTCTCATCTCATCATCTTATCTCGTCATTTATTCTCATCTCATCTGATCTCAAATCCTCATCACCTCTCCTGATCTCATCTCACCTCACTTCATATGCTCATCTCCTCATTTAATCTCCTTATCTCATCTCCTCATCTCATAACTCCATCTCATCTCCATCTCATTTCCTCATCTCAGCTTACCTCGTCATCTCATGTCCTCGTCCCTTCTTCTCACACCTTATCTCATCTGATCTCCTCATCTTATCATATTTCCTGATCTCATCATCTCATCTCTTCATTTTATCACCTCATCACAACTCATCTTCTTATCTCATCTCTTCATCTGATCTCATCTCCCCATCTCATCTCATTTCCTCATCTCATCTCACCTCCTAAATCTCATCTCCTCATCACATCTGCTAATCTCATCTCCTCACTACATTTCACCTCCTCATATCATCTTCTCATCTGTCCTCATCTGATCTCATCTTCTCAGCTTACCATGTCGTCACATCTCCTCGTCACATCCCCTCATCCCGTCTGAACTTCTGATCTCATCTCCTTATCTCACCTCCCCATCTCATTTTCTCATCTCATCTCCTTTCTTCCTCTCATCTCCACACCTCATCTCCTCATTTCATTTCCTCATCTTATCGCCTCATCTCATCTTATCTACTCATCACATCATCACATGTCCTCATCTGCTAACCTCATCTTGTCATCTCATACATTCCTCATCTCATCCTCACCTCTTCTCCTCTCCTCATCTCCCCATCTCATCTCTTCACCTAATCTCATTTCCTCATCTCATCTGCTCATCTCATCAGCTCATCTCACCTTCTCATCTCACCTCCACACTCCAGTCTGCTAATCTCCTCATCTCATCTTCTGATCTCCTCTCCCCATATCATATCATCTCGTCATCTGGTATCCTGATATCATCTCCTCTCCTCATCTCCCCATCTCATCTCATCTTGTCTCATCTCATATCTTCTCATCTCATCTCCTCACCTCACCTCATCTCATCTCATTTCATCATCTCAGTTCCTCGTCACGTCTCTTCACCTCTTAATCTCCTCATCACATCTGATCTCATTTTGTCAACTCATCACAGCTCCTCTCCTCATCTCTTCATCCCGTCTGCTCATCTCCTCATATTATCTCTTCATCTGATCTCATATCTTCATCTGATCTCATCTCCCCATCTTATCTCATTTCCTAATCTTATCTCATCTCCTCATTTCACCATCTCATCTCATTTCTTCATCTCATCACATCATCACATCTCATTACCTCATTTCATATGCTCTCCTCATCTCATCCTCTCCTCATACCTTCTCCTCATCTCATTTTCTGATCTCATCTCCTCATTTCATATCTCCTCATCTTATCCCATCTCCTCCTCTCATATCTCCTTATCTCATCTCATCTTTTGATCTCATCTCCTCATCTCACCACCCCATCGAATCTCATAGCATGTCCTCATCTAATCTCATCATCTCATCGCAGCTCAAATCCTCATCTCCTCATCTCAATTCATCCCATCTCATTACCTCATCTCATCAGTTCATATTCTCTCCTCGTTATCTTATCTCCTCATTTCATATCCTCTCCTCATCTCCCCATCTCATCTCCTCATCTGAGCTCCCCATCTCATCACCTCATTTCGTGTCCTCTACATCTCATATCCTCATCTCATTTCCTCATATCTTGTCTCGCCATCTCATCTCGTCAACTCATCTCATCTGCTCTCCTTCCCTCATCTCCTCTCAACAACTCATCGCCATCTCCATCTAAAGCTCATCTCTCCTTATCTGCTCTCATCTCCTCATCTCATTATTTCATCTCCTCAACTCATCTCATCATCTCGTTTCCTCATCTCATGTCATCTCATCTTCTCATCTCTCCTCATTTCATTTTTCAACGCCTCATCTCATCACCTCATCTAACCTCCTCTCCATCTCATCTCATCGCATTTCTTCATCTTATCTCCTCATCTCATTTCATCTGTTTATCTCATCTCCTTGTCTCATCTCATCTCTTTCATTTCTCACATCTCTTATTTCACATATCTACATATCTACTAAACGCATATGTTTGATATCTATGGCGTTTAAGTAAATACCAGAAAAGGAACATAAACCTTTTTCATGAAAATTATTAGAAGAGGATTAAAATAATAGATAATGAGTTCGATGAGAATTACGGATAAAACGTATACGCTATAACTAGAAGATCATTCTTTATAGTTGTTGTGTCAAATTCAGCAGTTGGAGGATAGTTAATTTTTAATTAGACACCGTATCTAGAATTTTTATTTAAATATTTAAGGAACATTCTTTCTTTAAGTAGGATATTTCACTCATATACAATTCATTGAAGAATTTTAAATTTTAAATTAAAAATTTAAAAATTTTAAATTACAAGGAAAGCTTACGAGTGGTACAAATATTTCAAACGGGATCGAGCATATTTAAAATGTAAATAGAAATAAAAAATTAAACAAGGAAGGCAGATGAAAATTGTGGCATTTCGCAATCGCCTGCCACACCCAAAGAAAAGTGAATAAAAGTTGCGTGCTTTGCGCACTCGAAATATTTGCAGCCGTGGAGTACCAGAGATTATATATCTCAGTTCAATTCCCACCGTAAGGAAAACCAAAATCAGAACTACGCCGTTAATCAGAACTACGCCTGTGCACAACCGTCAACGGTTTTTCTGCACAGGCTCTTAATATAAGTATATAAACCATAGTAATAATTAGACACAGTGAGTCTACTATTAGAGCATCTGTTTAAAATTTTAATATTTATAGAAAAAGAAATAAATTTTATCTACTTGGATTCTGCACATGCTTCTTGATGCATAACTATTTTATTAAACACTTGTCATCAGCAGGTTCAGTTTCCTTGAATTAAAGCATGAATTGTCTGCTAGGGATATTCTCAAAAATTACAATACATAATTCAATACTAACATTCAAATCATAGAACGCTTATATCACTAAGCAACACGGCTCAGAACGTGCATGGGAACCCTCAAAACTGATGCCATCCACAAAAATGGATTCATGAAACAAAGTTTCGTGTTCATTCAACAAAGTTATTTATAAAACAAAGGACCGTGGGTATATCCCGAAGTTTATAGACGGCATTACGTAACATTCACTGTATGATTGTGTCGGTATCGATCAAATTTTAGAACTTACTTTTGTAAGACTCGCAGTTTTCTACTAGCTTGGGGACAAAGAAGCAGAAGTACCAATTTCGCATTTTTGATTGCGCCACTCAGAAGTCAGACCACCACCAATAATTGCGACTACCCAGAAACGGAATAAACCACGGCCTACCTTTTCAAACCGCCACCCAGAAGTGGAAAGAAACAGCAATACGAATTTCATGTTCAACACATATATCTTTAGCCATCCTGAAACGCCTCTTCAATTCCGGGTATAACCTCTACATTGTGGCCCATAAGTAACGCTCTTATCTGTGCCTTCATTACTTACTTGTGGTACATGTATCGACTTAACTCACAACCCTGCCTTCTCCACCACATCACCTTGCGGTGGAAGGACGGATGCATATAACATATACCGATGTGGATGAGTGATCTTTATTGAAGACAGAATAAAGTATCATATGTGCATATTTTTTGCCAATAATTGGCTGCAAATTTTGTGGATACGTGTGCCAATTTTTGCCCCTATTTCGGTTTTAGCGCTCGATTACAAAATGCCAGAATTTGAGCATCTTTTTTTTTTTTTCACATGCTTAATCACTTCTGAAACTTTCAGGCTCATTGCTATCGGGAAGTTCGACAGCTTTACTCGTTAGTCAATACACTTATCCCGAATTTTTTTTTTTTTTTTTTATGAAATCTTTGGAGTTCAAGGACAAATTCGTTTTGTTAATCATAATACTTGCGTAAATTTAGCTTTTTGTTTGATTTCATCTGAATTTTACTTCAAGCTGTCACTCACTGCAATATTAGTACACATTATTTCTGACTTTATATTTATTAAAACTTATTCCAAATTTATGGTATGGTCGAATCCCATCAATTTGGAATATATGCTGTACTCAAATTTTCAATCTGAACAGTTGGAACATAACATATAAAAACATAAATTTATGAATAGAAAAATGGATTTTAGAATAAAATACCTGATCTGTCTCCTTCTCGACTACCCTAAAAAGTATATGTACTTACGTGAGTGCATTCAAAATAATACTGACAATTAAAAAGTGACGATCGCTGTACCACAAAAGAAAAAAAATCTTCCTTTATTTTATCAGTCTTCAAATAGGATTCTGAAATTTTATTTCCAGCGACACAAAATGATCAAATATCTTTTGTAGTTCCTTCTGTTCTAAGGTTCACAAATGAAATAACGAAAAAATATATCCTTATATGATAGTTCCATTACATGGCACAACAGACAAAGATGGCATTTTCCACATCTTTTGATAACATAGAAAGATTATGTTGTTGATGATTATGATGTATTTGGATAGTCATCGACATTGTACAATGATTATCGTTCTTCCTAAAAGTAACATTCCTGTGTCTCAAGTGTTATAACAACATTGATGACTATGATCTCACTCAAGAAAATGACTTTCAGCAAACACGAGGCACTCTTCTCATCAGGTTCTCTTCGAAAGTATCTGAAAATAAATTGCAATCATTATACTTTCTGTCATGTATCATTACAAAAAGAAATCGACACAATTTAACTGAGAAGTATTTTGGGATTTCAAGGCTTATGTTTAGCTTTCCAAACTGGAAAAATTATCAGATGATCATTATACCTCACGTAAAAACAATATTTTCAATACATCGTTTCGAGAAACATAATTTGTTACAATTTGATCTAAATGAAATACCTAGAAAAATACTTTATTTGTTATACAACTGAGTAATTAGCAAGATGTCATACAATTGTTTATGAAGGAAAGGAAGTTTTAGACGAAAATAATCTTTATTATTACAGAAAACTATTCCGTTGTAATTTACACGAATTCAGAAAACACATGAAACAGATAATATTCTGTTTCTAAATGAATAAGTAACAAAACTTGTATTTGTGCAATTAAGTAAATAACATAACATTGTTTTACGTAAACCAGTTTTTAATACCAGTTGCGAATTTCTTCATGAATTTCAATATGTTTTTCAGAAAACATGGTCGTATGGCCCACACTATTTTTATCAAACCTTTGTAGTTATACAGTGTACATTGTAATTACATTTAACATTCTGAGTTATATGGTGTTGAAAGTGTAATTTACATGCAGTACCATTTAAGCATTGGTTCTTAATTCAGGTATAAAACTCCTATATCGTCGGGAAGCAATTTACAACATGAATCAAATGAATGTTTAATTTCGTTGTTAGTAAAACTAATGTGTAGGACATTTTACTGTGAGAAGAAATTTGAAATTAAACATTTCTCATTAAAAATATTTTCAGGTACGGTAAAAGAAACAGCGGAATATCTTGGCATATTTTCATGAAATAATCATAATAATATACCTCGGGGTTTAATTGACTTACTTTCTTGATTGCTTGACCATTATTTACCGAACTTTATGCAATTCATTACAGAACGTTAATATTTTAGTAACCTATTTCCGCTAAGAAATCTTAGAGGCTTATTCCCTATCAATAAATCTTTGACATCCCATGAATAACTAAATATCCAACACAGGTTTGTTATAATTCATTTTATTAACATTAGTGAGATTTATCTAGTATTTTTAAATGCAGTGTAATTGCTTGTTCCTTAATTATGTTAAGTCTTTTGTTTGAAATTACATTCGAAGAAATTATTCAGAACATTCCTGAACCAGGAATCGATAAGAAAAAAGATCCTAACTATTAACCAAACGGATTAATTAATAATTTAAGAAACCATTACACAGCTGCCTCATTTTTAAAAAGCAGTGCAATTCTTTGGAAACGTTCTTAACAAGAAGAATTGCTGTAAAGCTGAACTTAGTACAAAATCATATTTTGTTAATGTACGAACCTTCTGTTAACAGAAGCTTATTCTCTGTCTGCAAACAAACAAACAAACAAACAAACAAACAAAAAAAAAAAAAAAAAAAAAAAAAAAAAAAAAACTAAATATAAATGACATTTGAAATAGAAGAAAGTTTTATGAGAAGATCAAATACGTTACTAAAATTAAGTAAATGTATTGTTTCGCATGCTTTTTTTTTTATCTATGTCCCTTGACATTTCTTATAGTTCACTAAGGGAAGTATTTCTTAGATAATTTCACATACTGCTTTCATATACCACAGCATTTTCATACGGTTGCATATTATTATATTCCCTAGCATTTACTCCGTTATTAAATTTTTGGTGATAAGCAGTCCCGAGGGAAAAGGACAGGGAAGAATAAGAGTTAACAAATAGAATTTTTATACAAATGATTTCTGAAATGACAAAGAAAATCGTCCAAAAAATATGAGAAGAGCTTCTGTATTTACTTATATATTTACTATAGCAAGGCACTTGATGACAGTATTAGTTTAATTCTGGAAAAAAAATAATGTAATCCTTTGCTCTTTTTTTTTCAATTTATCACGAAATTACGAAACATATTTCTTAGATAACGCTAACATGTGTCTCAGCAGTGATAAGATCTCCATGTGCATACTGTATATAATAATCTATTACATGGAAAATTCTAAATACTCACCTTGCTATCGAATCATAAGATGTTGCTTTTTCCTTAAAAACCAAAAGAATAAAATAATTTCAAAGTATCTACGACAATTAAAAGAACATTGTTTACCTAGCTTAAGAAGCAGAATACTCCGCATACCCTTCCATGGAATTTTAATATCCTATCTTACACTCTGAAAAGCATGTCTCTCATTGTTCTTTAATTTCCTTACTGCACTTTTTTCTCAAATTCTTTGTCAATAGCAAAATATTTGATCGTAAAATAAAAGAGGCTTAACAAGAATCTAGGGAACTACAACGGATGAAAAGAATTCACAAAGAAGATTAAATAACTTTCAAGGCTACTCGTTTATGATATTAATGAGAAACCGAAAAAAATTAGCGCAATTATAATATGTCATTTAATATTTTAATACAAAACATTTTAAATAAATATTAAAGTCAAAATAAATTAAAAGAATATTTTATTCTATGCAAATGTTTTTCTCTGGTGCTTGTAAAATTAATTAATACCTAATGGCTAGTTGCTATGGATTTCGTGATAACTCTGAATATTTGTAAATCTTTAAATGAAATAATATAAAATCGAGCAATAAAAATTTAATAAAAGACATTTTTAAGACATATCTAAAACGATTATTTCTTCTAGAATATAAGACTTAAGAAAAATATGTACCAAAATTTGACAGCAACCATTAATTATTAAGACATTCCAAGCCTGGAATTATAAATATTCCCTTTCGGAAACTGAAAGTCTAGATTTTGAACTATTTTAATAAATTACAAATACATACGAATATCAGCATATATTTATAACAGTATTTTTTGGAGCGGTGGACTTATAAGATAATAATGCAAAACATAATGATGCAAATTAAATTCAGGCTATAAAAATGTTAAAAGATATTAAACAATTTTTAAGATTAAAAAGAAGCAGTAAATCAGGAAACTAACAATGACCAACTAAAGACACGCATGCGGCCTGTGTGTTTAGTCTTTTTTAATCTATTTTAATTTAATACATTATATACATTTATAATTAATTAAAAGTTAAATTTTTATAAACTAATTTTACATTGAATAAAAAATCATTATGAGCAAATGCAACAACATTTAAAAGATACAACCAAATTTAAAATGCAAAGATTGCACTAAAAAGAATTTAATGTTCACGAAGGCAACATTAAAAATCAATTAAATTCACGTTCAGGAACACAGATGATATCATTACCGCAAAGGATTCTTGGAATAAAGGACATCTACTCTGAATGTCTAAAACTCAACCTACATTCATAGATGTATGTTGTTCATAGATGATATCATTACCATCAATAATGAAGAATTCTTGGAAAAAAGGACGATTACTCTGACTGCCTGAAAACCAACAAAACTAATGAAAACCAACGGCAAACGGACTTTCTGGATTTAAGCATTCTTGACTATAATATTTAACAAATAGATAGTTCAACGTCTAAACTTTATTAACTGGATCTCCAATATACTATAATCATCATTGCTAATACCATTTTCAACCATATTAAGAGACTTATCTGCTCAGAAATTACTTGAAGAACATAAAGCTTCCAAGCATTTTATCAAACTTAAAAATTTTGACAATGAAAACACCCTTTAAAATTAAAAAACGAAGCGTTAATTTAAACACTTGGATTGCTAATTTCGGATTTGTAAATTATGTATAAACCTCAATTAGTTTCCCTGGTAGCTAAATTCCTTTTATTAACAAAGGTCTATTCCTTTTCAAGTCTCATAACATGAGACTCTCAATATGAGAGAAGAAATTTAGCTTTTATTCTCATCCCTCCCCTTCTTAATTTTTTTATACAGAGCTTTCTGTTACCAGTTTAATTATTTGTTACCTGCCTTAATTACGTAAAGGTTTCTTGTTCATAATGACTTTAATTTATTTAATTTTTTTCTAAATTAAAAAATTAAAATTAATTAATATTTAAATTTACTCCTTTTTTTCTTTAAATAAAATATTTGTTTCGCGTTTCACAATCCTTTCGAATTTATTTGTCATATGAATTTAAACTCTCGTATGTTCCTTTTTTTCCTCTACGCTAGATGTAGAGGGTGGCTGCGTTTATTTTTTTTCCTTATTCATTTGAGTTCTGTCGTCTTTATTGAAAGTAAAATAATATAAATTATTACTTTAATATATACTTACATATTATTAGTATTACTACTAATTACAAATTATTATACTACTGATTACTATATATCATGAAATTTCTGATGAGTCAAGGAAAAAAAATCGGTCTCTCTCCTCTATTTTCATAAACATACATTTGTTTAGATGACATTTACATTATTAAGGAAAGCGAGAATATGAAATACTTTATATTATAAATATATAACCAAGTGCGAAAAAAATCTCATGACGGTATGACGCCGGTCATGTCGTTCAACCACTTGTTATTTTCCTTCTCTTTTACAAAATTTTCTATGGTTTATGTACACATATATGATGCAAAGCATAAACACATATACCGTAACCTACACTTGAATACAACCTATTACGTGCTAGTCGCTGTTTAACAACACGCACTTGAATTATCAGATTATCACAGAGCAAACGCACAATTTCCTACAGCTGTATGGTCCAAACCAAGCGCGCGTATTAAATACCAACGATATAACCAACACATTTAATGTAATTTATTTTAAAAGTAATGCAAAAAATGTAATTATTATTGTGAAATGCCCAGATACGGTAAGATTGTTTTCCCACAAAGCGGTTTCAGGGCTACCAGAAAGTGACAAGGAAAAGCAGGGTTGCCAGATTTGGAGCAAAATCGCCCATTTGGTGACATTTGGCGATATGCCATACGGAGAGAGAACATTCTAGAGCGAATTCTTACCGGTTTTCCCGAGAATGTTCCCGAAGGCAGGTCAAAAGCTATATATACCCTGCCAGTACGCGGAGTAGAAGAATAGTATGTTGAGTTTAGTAGTAATGTATTGAGTTTAGAGATCAGCTCGAGACCGATCGACCGAGTCGGAAGGCGTACTTTACAGCTTTGCCGTGAAGCTGTCTTCCTTTTATAGCCTGAAGGCTGTGTTACTGATTGTTTTAGCGTGTTTGTCTTAGTTTTTCGATGACGGTAACACTCCTTTGGAACTGCCCTGTGTAATACTGACGAATAAATTGCGTTTTGATTCTTCGTCAAGCGTTGTCATCAATCATTTCAAATCCACGAACCTATAGAACGCAACATTATTATTAAGATCAGTGGCGTGTTTGTGTGTGCGCTTAATAACTTATTTTGAGAGCTAAATTTTTGAAAGGCGTACGCGCGCACGCTAGCGGACTTAGAGCGCGAGCAGTAATGAATAAAAGTATAAGAAATAAGTAGTAGCAGTAATGAATAGAAGTATAAGTGTTCTTAAAAGGCCGTGTACTGTACTTGTTGATCTGTGAACGGCATTCTTAATGATCACGTTAACTAATCCCTTGCGTACGGCATCTCATAATCTAAGCATTCACAGAAGGGTAACGTACTAAAAATTGGAGGTAATTAAGTTTCCTCCCTTGAGAAAAATGTTTGACTTTCAGAGGAAATTATATGGCGTGATACATGACATTACCTTACAGAGGCTCGACAGTTTAGAATAAGTAAACTTATGATGGAACTCAGAGGTGGCTATCATGCGAAGCAATACAGCAAAAAGGTTTTTAAAATTCTTACCATGAATATTCCATACTTTTAAAACAAAGTCACGAAAGATGCATATTTGACCATTTACTTCAGATGTATTAGTGATTTGTTCTGTGATCATTCCCATTTCGATGCACGATTCCGATCTTTCTCTTATCAGCAATTTATAGAGTAAATAGCACTACCATTAATATTTTATCCAAAACGATTCAGAAGGAATTCATACCGTATCAGATAGTTACAAATATACTAATTATTCCCTCAGTTTGTTCTAAGAGAATAATCTTCAGATTATCTTTGGCGTACCTAAATGCGAAAATTAATGAATTCTTTCATTGAGAATAAGCCTAAGGATTAAACTAATAAGAATACATCTCGCTTGTCATCAAAAGATTATGTCTGAATTTTACCCTTTGAACTCATACTTGGCGTTTTCAAATATCCAAGGAAATTTTAAATTCCTTGCTACGAACTTGGCATTTTAATCTGCCGGATTAGTACTGATCAGGGATTAAATATGTTTATTTATATAATAGTATTTTGTTTCCGAATTTGGGTTACTTATTCCTGTTTACTACCTGTAAGTTATGTTCCTTCAATTGATGCAAAGTTTGAAGAAACAAGGATTTATTTCACTGGCAAGAAACTTTTCACGGCATCACCATTTTGTTAATTGTGAAAGCAATTATCAATCTTATTTAATTTTACGTTATTTGTACGCAAAATTAAGTTCATAAGTTTCGTGCTTAGAGTTTTTACCGTTTTACCAAGGTAAAGATGTTTGTACAAGAATTACGCGTGAAAAAAATGCACGAAATGCAGTTAAAACTGCTTTAATGAAATATATTAAAACTTATTTGAAAAAAACTGTGGCTTTCATAATCTCATCACTATACAACGTATCACATTTAATAATTAAAAAGCGTTATGTGATACAAACGCCATAGGTTTTCAGTGTTAAAGTAAACTAGATCGTCCCTACTCTTTCTTGCCGACATGTCGGTGGCGCGCGCCGCGCCCACTGGGTTAGTCTATCTCTTATAAGGTCCATGAGTTACGGAAGCTCTGGCATATATTTATAAAAATGACGCACTCCAGAAATGTTGTTATTTTTAGAATAGAGAAACGAAGTAAACAAACTAAAAATAAGGAATTAACACGTTGAGCGCCACGTGTATTTCTTACGCAATCTCGTTCGGCCACGCGCTCCGCTTAAATGCGCTGGTATTTGTAGGGCCAGTGATTCTTATCGCAGTAGAAGATAGTTTAGGTTTGGAACGTGATTCCTATAGGCATTCATTCAACACGTTACGCTCCAAGTCTGTTTTGTAAATAGTTACATTCTATGCAAAGATATTACGAAGCAGAAAATTAGCATTACTGAATTCCCGAAAGAATTAGCGGTATCCCTTACAAGTATGAAAAAGGGAGGCATTCCATCGAACAGAAATGCAAGACCATTTAAAAAACGACAACATAAACTCCAAAGAAAAACTGGGAAAAGACACTGAAGTACGGAAATATTGTCAATTATGTTACGATAAAAATGCAACAGAAGCTGGTAGAGTAATGGCCAGAAAAAAGGTTAAGAGAGTTGTCACATTTTGTAACAGCTGTAATAGAGAACCGTTTTTATGTTTACCGCGTTTCAATGAAATCCATTAGTTCTGTAATGAATCAAAATTAAGTAAATTTTAAATAAGTTTTCTGTAATTCCATAAAACAGTGTAAATTTTATAGTTATATATCATGTTACACGCTGTCAGCCAGAGGCGGTCGACGCGGCCTAAAGGAAAAGTCTAGTGTCCGCCACAGATGGCTGACGCGGCCTAAACGGAAAGTCTAGTATCAGCCACAGATGTTTGACATGGCGCTAAACGTTAAGTTATTAATAAATTAAATTATAAAGCCGATTTACATATTTTAGAAGTACTGATATAAGAACACTGAGACGTAGAAGCGTAGCAATGTTGTTACATCAGTACTCTAAAATGTACTTTCATTATATATATATATGTATTTATATATAGCTTCTGATTTCGTGAGACTTTACTGATGGACTGATAGAAAGTATATATATATATAATATATATATACTTTATATATATATATATATATATACTTATATATATACTCTACAGGAGCGCTGCGTTAAAAGAGAGCGAATGCTGTGGTCAGAGTTAGAATGGACAAGCATTACTCAAGAGTAGTTTTCCTCAATCATCAGAAGATTGCATACTAATTACGCACTATCCGCAGCTTTAACTAGTTTCTAATTGAGGAAGAGTGCGCGTCCACCTGCGCCGAACAAGGATTTCGAAGCTTTTGCTAACGAGATTGCAGCTTCCTTTGAATCCAATTTCCGGAGAGAACTGTCAAATCGGTTTACAATCTATCTGCGACCGACTCGACACGTTTATGTTATCCGGTATCCCGGATACCTACCTCTGATAACAATCCAGGAGTTGTGATGCCTGTCGCATTCGGTTTCCGATAATTCGTCAATGTCTGTGGGGTCCGGGTGAGGGGGGCAGGCCATGTGAGACCCTTCTTCCGGATCACTGGCCCCTTCCTCATAGCTGAAACATAAAGAAACATCAATATATCATTTTCTTATTACTATTTCCTTTTGATGTATTGAGTAAAGATGTTCTATCTGTCTATGTATTAGATTCCTTGATAGGCTTGTGGTTAATCAAATCTTTTTACCATTAACCCTAGAATAACTGTATACTTGGATTTGCTGACAATTCTGTATTGACATTAGAGGGGATATATTGCCCTTTCTTAACGTATTGGAATTAGATAAAACATACTATTGGCCTTAATATCAAAAACTTATACTATTATTTTCAGAGCAGCTGATAAGGAGGGTTTTAGATTTGCAAATTTCTGCACACAATATTATTTGTATCATTCTCTCCTTCTGCTAGTAAATTATTATTTTGCTCGATGCTATTTATTACTAGGATTTTAGCTATTATCTTTTTCGATAACACAACTGATGCCATCAGAAAGTAATAATTCCACTTTAATTCAATAAATGCTATTCAGATCACGAAGATTTGTGTTATTTATTGAACGTGGTGCAAGTAAACTATGATTGTTTTAGTTCTTGAGAGTGAAAATTACGTTAAATGGCTCCGTTTTAAATGAAGAATGTAACTTAAGTTAAAGCAAAAATTTATTGATTTATTTATACTACAAGCTTTAACCCTCCAAATATTTTATTTTTTAAATTTAAATCATTGCTAATATTCGGGTAAAAGTTCTTACACCAAAACGGTTAAACTAATCATCAGCTGAGCTATTAAAACTTAGCTGATGATGATTAGCTTGATATGAAATCAGAATATATAGTATTTTGAATTTAAAACAGATCGAAGTATTTCAATGTAATAACAATGGTGCATATGCAAAGTATCTTTGTATGACTTTCGAAATAATTTAGGAAAGTTAGAAACAATTTATTGTTTTCCCTATATATTATCACATTTAATCTGATCATTTGCTAAAAATTTCTCCTTAAAATTGAGAAATTCACATTTTCTTAATCTAATACAGAAGCATTTTATTATTTTCAGTTACGAGTAATGTAGGTTCATTATATATAATTAAAACATTTTTCAAATCTGTTAAAAAGGCTGTTAAAAGCCTCATAAAAAAACACTAGTATTTACTAGCAATGTCTGCGCGTTCAGAATATTTCTGTGAAATATTCTGAATTTTAAATGTCTTGGGAAATATTCTAAATTTTAAATTCTAAAATTTTATTGCAAACCAAAAGAGCATTTTAAAAACTTAACTCTTTTAACTTTTGATACTTTTTGATACATTTTAAAATATATTTAAACATGTCTAATTTTTATTTTTAATTGTTTTATATCATTAATTATTTCTTCAACTTTGCCTCCTAAACATAAGGTTTACGTAAAATCATTCAGTTCAGTTAGTGATGGATGGTAAGATCAATAGTTAACAGGTATCGTCTCATATCCATCGCTAACTAGAGTTTATTATTAAAATATACAGAATGTTTTTGCGTTTGCCAAATTTAAATGCACAGTTTTACTGTATAAACTCATAAAAAAGAGAGCAGGCAGTTTTGTGTTTTCCCTTTCTAGTCGATCGACTAACTTGCGTTTTTTCTGTCTCGAAAGCGCGATTTGGAATATATATATTAGATTTATGTATAGCGGTTTTGTAACGTGAAAATTCTAACACAAAATCGGACTTTCTCTGAATAACGTGCTAATTTTTGTTTTTCATATTTCGATTCTACGACTCAAATTATCCCCAAAAAGCAAATTTTGCAGAATTTGACAAGAAATATACCGAGTTAATCCAGGATACACTTTAGCACATTTTATTTTCTTTCCGCCAAGAGAATTCACTTGGCGAACTTCTCAGTTTATGTTAGCTTTTCGTTTTCCCTTTCATTCTGAACGTGAGGAGGAAAAAAAAAAAAAAAAAAAAAATTAATTTTAAATCATTGCTGATATTAGGGTAAAAGTTTGTTTCTTCTTCTTGGAAATGTTTTTATTTTAAATTTTATTTTTTATGACAGTTGTAATTTTTCTTTCTTTTTTTTTTCTTTCTAAAAATTTCATTTTGATCATTTGTGTTGCAGATTTAATTACAGTTCTTAAAATAGTTATTTTAAAACATTTCTTGTTACTTACTCACGTTGTGTACTCTAAGCATGTATATTGATATAAATGTTTTCTCCTTAAAATTTTTTTTTCTTTATTTTATTTTGAATTTCGGAAGAATGCTTTGTGGCTCAGTATTTGCCACTATGCGTTTAAAAACTGCATCCTGCGTTGAAAAAGAAAATATCGTAAAGCACAGTTAATACGTCTTTCAACGGGCCATTCAGAAAGGTGTACTATAAATAAGAAAGGTATTACGTATTAATTTAGAATGGTATGCGTACAAAAGAAAATTCCACAGTTTTATTTCTGTATCACTGCTTTGTAAATTTTATCTTCCTGCATTTAGTTTGTTAAAATATTATCCATATTTTCCAAGAAGTTGAAATTTGTTATTTTTTAATTCTCCGGAGTCAAATTGTCTGAAATAAAAGAATAAATTTTATGCAAATAAATAAAAATATTTTGTCTCTTTAATGTCTTGAATTTTTCTCCTTAATAGCTTATTGCCTAAGAAAACTTTAATGCCTTAATTATTTTCTCGAGGCAATCTGTAGATATATCCGCAATTATCTTCTATTTTTTATTCCCTAAATACCATACTAACTTTTGAAACGGTTTGTTTACTGTCGCATTCTTTTGAGTACAAGTGTCGCCTTCAGTTTCATCAATATTTGGTTAGAGAAATGGTGAAACATTTATGTCTGTGGTACTGAATGTCCTTAGAGAGTAGGCGTCTTTAGAGGCTAGTCTTTTACATTTTGAAGGCAAGATATGAAAGAAAAAAGACTAGTTCATCGACACTAAAAACATTTTTAGCAGATATCTATACACGTCTTTGGATAAATTCTTGAATCATTCACCATTTCATCTGACACATCTAAGGGTTTTCCAAGTAAAATATGATATAACTTTCTACGACCTAATTTAAATTTATTCAACCCTTCGGTGAAAAAGCACTTGCCTTTCCCGGTGTTACTTCTTGTGTGTTATTCGCTAGTTCAGACGCATTCTCTGAAATATTTGACTCACTGCATTAAGTGAAAAACCTCAGTAAATATGGTTTACACTTCCAGATGTTTCTTCTTGAACAAACAATTTCTTTGAAGCGGTTTCCCTCGAGCTCTAAAATTTTGCATAGTTAACTTAACCCCAAAATTAGAGGAAAATCGCTGTCTACCTGATACTTCACAAACACTAACACATCCCCCTAAATGAATCCTCTTCACTCCGCGTAAAAGCCGGCCGATGTCAGGTACTTGAGCTAGTATATGTATTTAAATATTTATATATGTAAATGTATAATGAAAGAAATAAGCAAATATGCTGCAATTAAAGCTTCATATTTTTGAGTTTATAGGCAAATATCTTATCCCAGTACAGAAACTAAATTCATGACCTTTGTTTGAGTAAGACAATGCAAAATGTTGTAACGAAGTGCCCAGCTTCTGTGAGGTAACTTCCTCGCAAAGCGAGTTTAGGGTTGTCAGAATGTAGTAAGAAAAGACAGGATGACAAGATTTGGCGCGAAATCGCCCATTTAGCGACAAAATAGGCGATATGCCATAGACTGAGCGAGAACATTTTAGAGCGAATTCTTACCGGTTTTCTCCAGAATGTTCTCGAAGGTAGGACAAAAGCTTTATAAACCCTGCCTGTACGCGGAATCGCAGTTTGACGTCAAGTGTATCTTGATAGTATCTACCAGTATGTTGAGTTCAGTACTAGTGCTTTGAGTTCAGAGATTATTTTAGCTATACTTTAGGGATTTACCTTGGAGTTACCTTCACCGTTGTAGCCTGAAGGCTGTGTTTGATGGTTGTTTCAGCGTGTTTATCGTAGTTTTTTCATGACTGCAAACGAGTCTTTGGAATTCTCCTGTGTAATACTGGCAAATAAACTGTGTTTAGGTTTTTCATCAAGTGTTGTTATCAACACTCCAAATATACGAACCCGTAGAACGCAACAGTGTAACCTGCTTTATGATACTGAGCTTGATAAACATGCAACGGAAAGAAATCCAGCATTGTATTCTTTATTGTCATGAAAATAAAGCATAAAAACACTAGAAAGTGAAGGAAATAAAACAGTTGAGTTATATACCAGATTACTGATCTTTGAGAGAATGTATATATAGTTAGAAGCTCCACTTAATACTCGTTATAGAAAATAAAGTACAGAGAATAAAGTTATCCCAGGGCAGAAAATCTCATAATCCCATACTTTAGAGGAATGCCTCTTTAGGAGGTGCATTATTCGTAAGCTCCTTTAGAAATACAATATTCAAAACACGATTTAGTTTCCACCCATTGTTTTGTAAGAATTTTTGTGTCCAAGTGGAAAATCTATTCATTAATTATCTATTATTACCTGGAAGCATTTTCTTCCAATGAATATTTAAGTAATATTTCAATTATTCTCCTTTTCAGTGAAATGTTAAAGGTCTTCTTTTAGTTTATAAAACAGTTCATGAAATCCGCATCAAATATCTATTTTCAGTAATTGTATGAACTACAAGAAAAATAGCATTTTTACTTGACATTTTAGGTCGTACGAAACACATATGATATTTAACATAATTTGACTATTTAAAAACTATGATCTTTTCTTTATAATTTACAATAAGCATTCATTCATCTTCCATTGTTTTTGTGTGTCTTGTAATGTTCAAGAGATTTGCAATAACACTGAATTAAATTACCAGTAGCAATACCACCCCTTTTCAAGAGAAAGCTTCTGTTACTTTTGTAATTCTTGATGCTCCTGAATGAAAATGTAGTACTTTAGTCTGTTCGTTTAAGTGACAGAATTTAGTTGAAGAGAATATATTTAAAGAAGAAAAGAAACTATTTAATTGTCTGAACTATTTTCTGTTATAAATATAATTACAATTTTCTAATTTGCCATCTTGCACTCAAGCTTATATT